ATAAACATCTTAACTTTCAGAAAAACAATACTTATTGAATTTCTTAAGTTCATGTTTCTAATACTTAGTGCTTTGATAATCTTTTATCAAGGCTTCTTGAACTTATACACTTTTGCCTCAGATAGTTCATATGTGTGTCTTAACAATTAAGACTAATTGCCAAACCTCACAATTCAAATTATGGAAAGGGATGCCGTAACCATGATCGAATTTGAGAATGCAATTTTACAATCACTATCTTTTAAAATCTTTCTTAGTGAAAGCATTTTCTCACAATCATTTTCATGAAGGAGGAAATCTTATGACACTTAGATTTAAATGGTGTATTTTGTTCCTATCCATGTGAATTTGTTAAAAAAAACAAAGTTTACGACAAATTCAAACTCATATGGATCGAACTTTCTCAATCTTGATTTCTTGCCTTATGGTAGCACAGCTGCCCACCACGTCTTCCAAGTAGTTAAGCATCTCACCTTTTTCCTATCAATGTACTTTCCATTGATCAAGGTACTTGCCTTTTATGCATTCAAATGAGAACTCATAGGACTCACATGCATAATTAACTCGATTGGATTGGCACAGAAACAAAATAATGTCTTTACGATAGGTTGTAAACCTCAACTCGTGTGCTAGTGATGATCGATAAGGTTTATTTGATTTGTTCTTGAAATTTTTCGAGACCATTAAGACTCCCACTGACTCCTTGACATATAAGATTCTTTTGTCAATAAACATTTCTTGACAAACAAATTTTCAAGAGTTAGTGTAGCTTGTATCAAAACACTTCATAAATTGGTCATAGTTGGTCTTTGTCTTATCCAAGACATCACAACTTTCCACATTTGATGAATGTTATAAACCTTTAATACTTTTTACTCATTGTCACAATCTTAACTTTAAGACTTGTTATTGGAACAAAGTATGATTGTCTTCTTGATTTGACCATTTCATCAATCTTTGATTCCTCTTCTTGGACATACAATTGTACCAAGACTCACTTAGAGGATCAATTGAGATATGGTTCTTAATCATTAAGACCTATCATAAAGCATAAAAGCCACTCTCCCTTCTTCTTAGAATGGAGAAACTCTTATCTTTCTGCCTATTTGATTCTTCTTATTCGTTTTGCTATTGATCTAAACCCTTTAATCAATTCAAAATTACACTTAATCTTGTAAGTATAATCATATTTACTAAACCTTTAGTAAATGATGAAGAATATCTTTGTTATTCTTATGGTGAACTTGATCAACACACAACTTTGTGTACTCGATCTCCTAGTCCTTCACTTGACACTTTGTCAACGAATTAGTCTAATTATCAAATATGAAATTTCTCATTCATCATGCAACCAAGTTGCGTGATTCCAAGTTTCTGTCCAATTGAAACTTGGGCGATGAGAAACTCTCCTTATTTGGTAAATTCTTGACTTTCCATAAGAAACAAATCCATTATTGCTAATAATTTTAACATCAATTTTTCATACACGCGATTGTAAGGATAAATAAATAAAATTTAAAATCAAAATTTATTTTATTGCGGAAAAATTTGTCCCCTCACAATGCAACTCATTGAAAACTTATGCGAATACATCTTTCTTAGCAATCTAATTCTAACTCTAAGTAGTAGCTCAAGAATCTAATCTTCGAGAAACACAATCGAAATCCATTCCTTTTACGGTTAGATTCTGCTCACTTCTTCCCTTAAGCTTCTTTTCTTTTCTTTGATCCTTCTAAACATCAATTGTAATCTTATCACATTATGTATTCAGAACCTAGAATGAAGCTTAAAAGAGTTAGTCAATGGATTTTACCTAAATTAGAGCCATACATTTCGACTCTCCCATCTCTTAGATCTCTTAGGTAAATAGGGCAGCTTCGTCTCCAATGCCCCTTCTCTTGGCAATAAAAGCAAATTGACTCTTTTTGGAACAACACATGGAACTACTTCAGACATCGCCTTTCTCTTATGATCAAACTTTTCGATCATTGCATGTCTTTCGTTGCCATTGTCTATATCCATAGAGGTCTTGAAGGAAGATTCACCAATCAACTTTGCTTTTCTATTGCGCCAAACCGTTGTTGGTTCAGCAGCAACAAGCATATAGGTGAGATCTATAAGGGTCACGTCGTAGCTCATCATATAGTACTCTCTTGTGAACTTACTATATGAGTTGGGAAGTGACTGAAGAACCCAATCAACAGCCATCTCTTCACCGACAATGGATCCTATCATTCTTAGACTATCAATGTGCGACTTCATCCCTAGGACGTGTGCACACACCGACTTCCTTCTTTATTTTACTTGCCAAAAGGGCTTGAGTGATATTGAACTTTTCAATTTTACAATCTTGTGGGTTAGGGAGAATAATTGGAGGAGGAGGAGGAAGTGAAACATGATTTCTTGTTCCTCAATCGAATCGTGGAATATCATCTTCATGTGGAATGCTTGTTCCACGGGATTTGAGAAGACCATAGTTGTCGAACTTTGACATCGGGAGAAAAACGAATTCAAGTTAGTTGATTGATTGAGTCCTTGGTAAATCACCCAAATGAAATTCCAAGGCTAGGACCCAACACAATATCCTACAACTCGGGAGAGGGATGCCGTAACCCAAATCGCAGAACATTTGAAGGTAAGTGAATGACGATTCACTAGTTTTCACCATGAGAAACGAAAAAGAAATTTAAGTTTTAAATCTATGAAAACTCCTAGATCCTTTGAGATTCATTGAACATTTCAATGGCATGTTTAAATCTCGATATGCCCCTCTAGTTTGTGACTGGGATGCCGAGGATCACAAAGCCCGGTGTGAATAACCATGCAAACTACATGGTGCCCTCACATGTTACAATCACCTATTCGATGTGCCGGTAAACCACACACGCTCCACCGAACTATGACAAACATTGAGTCACCCTTTGCTACCTTTGCTTAGAACCATTTAGTGTGCCGGTAAACCACACACGCTCCACTAACGTCTTCGCAAGGGCACAAAGTGTAATTTCATGGAATTGCATCAATTCACTTTTGCCTAAGTAACTAAGATTGGGAATTTGCGAAACATTTAGTTACTCTGTATTTCATTATACTTATAATGGAAGGTTTCGTCCTATCCTACCCGTTCGGCTAACGACCCTCCACTAGTCAAGAGTGCGGTGGGTAAGAGTGGATACCCATTCAATCGCCATTTTATAGGCAATTTCCTTAAACACCCCTTATAGACCAGTTTCGTGAATGAGGCCTACTAACGGTAAGACTGACTTTTACTCATACATATATATAATGTTAGACCTTTAATGTTATATATATAGTATAGGGTGTATTCTATACTTTTAAAATACTATATGGTTAACTTTAATAATTACACTTTTAATTCAATTAAAAGGTTAACCTAAACTTTTATGGATTTATTAAATCTCTTTTAATTATATACCTTAATTAATTAATAAAACCATAAGGGTGTGATTTGAACTTTTTCAAAACATTACTAGAGTTTTAGAATTTAACGTTTCTAATTAACCTTTTAATCAACTTTAAATTCCAAAACTTGAGGGCAAGTTTTGAAACATTTCAAAACATTAGGGTTTTAACTATTTAAATTTCAAAACAACAAAACTTTTGGGGTTCAAATTTAAACTATAAAACCTAAAGGGATAAATTGAAACTATTTCACAAGATAATTCAAATCTAAATTACAAATAATCAAACTTTATCTAATAAAACAAGTGATTATCTAAATTTTGACAATTATCTTCTATTTTGGTAAGGATAATCACATAATAATGAAAAAATTCGGATTTTATCACAAAAACAAGTTTATGGTAATTATCCAAAACCAAAACAGGAAGAAAATCGCGAATCTGAGCTGTCAGACCCTTTGACTCGTCGAGTCTGGACCTGGACTCGTCGAGTACAGCTGACTCGGCGAGTTCACCAAGTGACTCGGCGAGTCAAACATTCAGAAACTCAAAAAATCGATTTTCAGTGCTTATTTCGATCAAATATGCATCAATACAATTGAAACCAATCAAGGCTCTGATACCACTGATGGGTTTTGGTCATAAGACATCCTATGTGCTCATACAAACCCTAATGCTTGGATCTAGGTTTCTCTATTGTACATGCTTTGATTCCAAGACTATAAACCCTAATTCTAGCATACATATAATCATATTAACTTGAGAATAAGTTTATAGTGTTACCTTGATTGTTATGTAGCAATAACAATCCCAAATCTCCTTGTATTGACTTTGGAATGCTTAGAGTCACAAGTGTCACTCCTCTAATGGCTCACAAACACCATAAGCAAGTGGAGAAGGTATAAGGAGAGAGGTGAGAGGTTAGAATTCGTATCTAGGACCTCTTGGGAAGGGATACACGAATTCATGGCCCTAGGGGTGTTTATATAGGTGTAGAGATAGGGTTTCAGTCATTATCCTTATCTAGTTGATTATCCATTAAGCAACCAATAAGATAATCCTTGAATCCTTATCATACTCGAATTCTAAGGGATTTACACCTCAAATTCGTTCACCATATATATAAGATAATCCTTACCTTATTTTGTAACTATCACATAATTACAATTCAGCCCCTCTAGTTTAATTAATTACATTTGATCACAAAACTAATTCTTAATTAATTATTGACCAATATTAATTAAACAAATATGATTTCTCCTTTAATATATTATTCCTACAACATATTAATAAATCATATTATCCTTTCTCTCTTTATTCATTTCTCCAATCAAGTTGCTTTAGTGAAGGCAACCCAAAAGGATCATGCACCATCGGGTCAAGTACATACCAAAATAGTTATGGACTTAGACACTAATCCAACAGTGATATAGTATACTATCCACTTTGTTTTGAAAAGCCTTATACTTGTATTACCATCCTTTTTTTTTCTAAAACTTTTCAATTTCCTATGTCTGATTTCTTCTTCTTGATTCTTACTAAATACTGAAGTTGGTTTTCTATATTTACAGTGCTGAGATGCTTGCCAATTTGTGTGTCCCTTGGGTCATCCTAGGTCACTCTGAAAGGAGAGCCCTATTGAATGAAACTAATGAGGTACCCTTTTCCTTGTGTAGATTTTACTCAGCCTATTCAAATCAATTCACACTTTTCCTTGTGAACATCTTAGTCAGTGTTGTATGCAAGTTACTGAAAAAGTTTTTTTTTTCTTTTTCTTGTTTCATTCAGTTTGTTGGAGACAAGGTTGCATACGCACTATCTCAAGGTTTGAAGGTTATTGCTTGTGTTGGGGAGACTCTTGAGCAACGAGAAGCTGGAACCACCATGGAAGTTGTTGCTGCACAAACCAAAGCAATTGCTGGTAATTATTTTAAAACTAAACTTGCTTCTACTGTATGTCAAAAATCAAAAATCTTGTTGTATCTTTGATATAATAAGTAACTTGCACACAAAAGTTATGATTTTGGTGTTTAATGCAAGAAATCACAATATGCCTTTTCTATGTGATTCTGATTTTGGTAATTTTTTGTTGCAAGAGGCAAAGAGGAAAAGAAAGCTCAAGCCGAAAGAGATAAGATGCTGCAAATGCAAGTGTTGCATTCTTCATTTCAATTGTTAGTATGAAACACAGAGTAGATGGGCCAATGTAAACTTCTTATCCATATAACATCTGTTTGGAGCATTAGTCTTAAAGAATTATGAAAGGCAAGATGCAACTTTACTTAGTTGGAATTTGATGTAGAGAGTAGATTAGATGCAAATTTAGATATTGTAAAAAATAGAATTGTATGAAATTAAATTTTATGCAATGGATTGTATTTTTTGTATATGATATTTTATTTCTATTATGATACATTAAATGCAAATTTAATTTAAAAATTAATAAATATATAAATATTTTTTTAGAACATTTAAAATTATGATACGCAAAAATGTGTGTCATCTTCATTTATGACATGGCCTTTCTTGACAGGGGCTTCCTTGATACGCATTGCGTGTCATAAACACGCGCGTCGTAAGGTTACGACACGCAACTGCGTGTCGTCTTCCTTTATGACAGGACCTTCCTTGATACGCATTGCGTGTCATAACCGCGCGTCGTAAATGCGCGTCGTAAATGCGCGTCATAAATGTGCGTCGTCTCTCTTTATGACAGGGCCTTCCTTGACACGCATTTGCGCGTCGTCTTAGCATTTTACGACGTGCAATGAGCGTCGTAAAAGGCCTTTTTTCTAGTAGTGACACAAGATGGAATCAAATGTATGCTTATGATTCAAAATAAAGTCACGCCTCAGCAGAGCTCGACAAAGAACTTCTACTGTAAAGGCGATCTAGGGATTAAAAAACTTAGAGAAAACAAATAATGAAAGCGATAATGTCTAAGACTGCATGCATGAAGCTTATATACTAAACCCTAGTACAAAACATGCACGGTTGGACAGGCCCAATACCGGCAATCAAAACTGGGCTAAGGACCGAGCCCACGACGCAATCTATTAATCCCAACATGATGTACTTTGATTATAACGATTTGTTATCTTTTATATTCTCTATATATCAAAATCCATTTGTTAACTAATGCATGTCTATATACTAAGACAAAATGTTATTTATTTGCAATAACGTATATTCACATAAAGATATACATCTTGCTCGACATGTTACAAGGTGAAATGAAATTGATAGCATTTTTTTGTTGTTAACATTTTCTTTTACTATTTTTAGAAAATTTATTGAAAATTTATAACACGTCCAAATCAGAATCCATAAATTCTGGGAGTTTGGAAAACGTGTCTAGTTTGTTCATAAATTTTCTAATGATTTTTAGTGGTCTCCAACATGTGTGAAAACGTCCATAATCGTAGACTAGTCCGGATTGGTTCTTGAAATGATAGACAGTTTTGTAAAAATCACCATAAATTGTAGAAAAATCTTATGGAGATGTGCAAGTAACTATTTTAAAGCTAAGAATTGGGACTACTTGAACCTAAAAAAAATTTGAAAACTAAAATGTTTAAGTTGACCAAAACAGTCCGTGAATGGAGTCCAACTTTTCTGATGAAAGCTGTTAGAAGCATTTAGTGGTGTTCTTGGTGATTTAACTTGTATTCCCCCCCCCCCCCTAAAACTTAAGAATACAATGAAAATGTAGGGGTATGAACTCACATTGTGTGATTTTGGTTGACGGATGTTGGAGAAGGGAAGTGTTCAACTCAAGAACACTTAGAAGATTGCTTGATGATTCGAAGATCTAACACAAATATGATGAAGTTTGTGTAACAAACCTGTGATTTGAGTAAGAAACCTCACGAACCGCGTGTGATAGTGTTTATTGACGACATATTGGTTTACTCCAAGACGCAGGAGGAGCACGAGGAGCATCTGCGGGAGGTTTTGGAGACTTTGAGGAGGGAGAACTTGTATGCTAAGTTATCCATGTGTGAGTTCTGGTTGCGCGAGGTGCAGTTCCTTGGGCACCTCGTGAACCAGGACGGGATTTCAGTGGACCCAGCCAAAGTGGAGGCCGTGATGAGATGGGAAGTTCTGAAGTCTCCATCTGAGATTCAAAGTTTCCTAGGATTAGCCGTCTACTATCAGAGATTCATCCAGGATTTCTCCAATATAGTCGTACCCTTGACCAGACTAACAAGGAAAGTCGTGGTCTTTCGTTGGGGGCCTGAGCAGTAGGCCGCATTCGAGACTCTGAGACAGAGATTGTACGAGGCACCAATCTTATCCCTGCCAGAGGTCATGGAGGATTTTGTTGTATATTGCAATGCATCCATATCAGGTTTGGGTACAGTTCTGATGCAGAGAGCGCATGTCATCGCCTACGCGTCGAGGCAGCTGAAGCCACATGAGACGAATTACCCGATGCATGATTTGGAGTTGGGGGCAGTTTTGTTCGCCCTCAAGATTTGGCATCGTTACCTCTATGGGGCTCGCTGTACTATCTACACGGACCACAAGAGTTTGAGGTACCTTATGGATCAACCAAATTTGAACATGAGGCAGTGTCAGTGGATGGATGTGGTAAAGGACTACGATTGCGAGATCCTTTACCACCCGGGGAAGGCTAATATTTTGGTTGACACGCTTAGCCACAAGGTAGCACTGATCAAGGATATACGTATTAGGATGACGGTGGTGACTTCGCTGTTGGAGCGGATTCGGGAGGCCTAGCAGGAGGCCACGAAGGAGGAACATCAGAAGAGCGAGCGGATTGTGGGTCAGGTCTCCTCCTTTGACTATGACAGTCGATGGTTGTTGGCTCTGCACCGTAGGGTGTGGGTCCCGTATCATGGGGGTGTGCACCAGGTATTGATGGAGGAGGCGCACAAATCTCGATTCTCCATTCACCCCGGCGCAACGAAGATGTATAGGGATCTTCGTCTGGACTATTGGTGGCCCTACATGAAGCAGGATGTGGCATGGTATGTAGAGCGGTGCTTGACCTACAGGAAGGTCAAGGCCGAGCATCAGAGACCTCACGGAAAGATGCAGCTGTTGGATATTCCGTTGTGGAAATGGGAAGACATCACGATGGATTTTATCACAAAGCTTCCAAGGACCACACGCGGAGCGGATTCGATCTGGGTGATCGTCGATCGATTGACCAAGAGCGCCCATTTTATCCCGATTCAAGAGAGTATTTCGGCCGAAAAGTTGGCCGACATTTATATCAGGGAAGTGGTGGCGCGGCACGGGGTGCCAGTATCAGTGATTTCAGACAGAGATGTTCGGTTAACTTCCAGGTTCTGGAAGAAGTTCCATGACGAGTCGGGATTTCGTCTGCATTTTAGCACTGCTTTTCACCCGCAAACAGATGGACAGAGTGAGCGGACCATCCGAAATTTGGAGGATATGTTGCGGGCGTGTGTCTTAGACTTTGGAGGTAGTTGGGATATGTACCTTCCTTTGGCTGAGATCTCATACAACAAAAGCTATCGCGCGAGTATTGATCGTCCTCCCTTCAAGATGTTGTACGGGAGGAAGTGCAGGACCCCGATATGTTGGGGTGAGGATGGTCAGAGGGTTATGGGGAGTACCGAAGTGGTACTCAAGACTACGGAGAGGATCCAGCAGGTCTAGAGCAAGCTTTAGACTGCTCAGAGTCGGCAGAAAAGTTATGCCTACAAGCACCGATCAAACTTGGAATTCTAGGTCGGGGATATGGTTCTCCTGAATGTGTCACCTTGGAAGGGTGTCATCCGATTCAGGAAGCGGGGCAAGCTAGGCCCCAGGTATATTGGACCTTTCAGAGTTATAGCCTGGATGGGCAAGGTTGCGTATAGGCTGGATCTTCCAGCCGAACTCAGTCAGATTCATAGCACTTTTCACATCTCCTAGTTACGGAAATGTTTGGTGGACGAATCATAGGTGATACCCTTGGAGGATATTCAGGTTGACGACAGCATGAACTACATCAAGAGACCGGTGGCGATTCTTGACACGAAGTCAAAGGATCTACGGAACAACAGGGTGGATATGGTAAAGGTTCAGTGGCAACATCGAAAGGGCTCAGAATGGACCTGGGAGCTGGAGGACGAGATGAGGGAGCATTACCCAGAGCTTTTTCAAGATCAAGCGGCAGACTTCGAGGACGAAGTCTAAAATAAGTGGGGTAGATTTTTAACACCTGGTATGTTTTCTTAAGTATAAGTATTTTTTTTCTCTGGTACTCGACGAGTTGGAGGATCAACTCGTAGAGTAGGGACGTGGCTGCGAACATTTTAAGTAACCGACTCGACGAGTCGGGAGACTGACTCGGCGAGTAGGTGCTGGTTAAGTGAAACCTTAAATCTGAGGGTTTTCCCCTATATAAACAACTTAACTTAGCCTCCCTTGTCCCTAACACTCTCTTGAAAGCTTCATATCGAACCCTAGTTGTGTGTGTGTGAGTTGAGGCCATTTTTGGTGTTCTTGTGTGGATTGTAAAGCTTGGAAGGAAGAAAGGAGCTTGGAAATCGAGTTGGGGCTTATAGATCTGGAGATCTTACTTCATTTTCAGCAGCTTCAAGGTATAATGCCCCTATCTTGACTCATATATGCGTTTATTCATCTTTAACTTGGGATCTCTATGGATTTCTAAGTCATTTTTTGGATTTGGAAGTGTTGAGTGGGTTTTGACTTCAGATCTGGGCCTTAAGAGGGGTCTCATGGCATAAAGGTGCCAACTTTAGGCCATGAGAGCCCCATGCACATTGTAGAAAACTTTATATGGATTTTTGAGCTAAAAACCCCATGCATGTGTATCAAGTTTGGAACTTTATGTATAAAATGGACATTAGGATGCCAGATCTATGGTTTTGGTGTGTTAGACCTCACTTAAATCAACTATATGGAATTGGTCAAGGCCGGACTCGGTGAGTTGTTCTTGGCGTTCGACGAGTCGGTGACCATTGTGCACCAAACCCTTTCGGTGAATGGGTAAGTGTTAGGAAGGAAGTCCCTTGTAGGTTTAGACGCGCAAAGGGACCTAGAAGCCATGCGACTTGGCGAGTGGTATGAGAAGACTCAGCGAGTCCATAGCAATCTCCCAATCTTTGAAGATGGACTCGACGAGTTGTTCATACAACTCAGCGAGTCATAGACTGGAAAAGTTCTTAAGTTGGAGAT